TTCTTACCGAAAAGTTCTTAAAAATTTGTCTTAGCATCCTCCTTCATTCCCTCCAATGAAGGAGAAAAGGGCTTTTTCCTTGGCCTTGGGCAATTTTTTCGTGATAGCATTAGGAGTTGTAGGGGAAGTGGAGGAAGCAAATGAATGATCCAAACAACATCCCATAATTTCATTTGAATTTAGTGTCAACTTGTCTATTATGTCCTTCATAAAAAGCTACATTTTGAAATGATATTCTCGATATTTTAAATGTCGTTCTCGACATTTGATTTTTTTATCAATTTGTCAAGAATTTTGAGAAGTGACTTTCATGAGAAGTTACATTAAAATAATGTTTCGTGACATTTCATATGTCATTCTCGACATTTGAACACTGTTTCATTTGTCTATAATGACATTTCATTATGAATATGACATTTCTCTATATTAAAAAATGTCGTTTTCGACATTTCTGAATCAATGAAAAACATAGCATTTATTGTGATTTGACATGTATACTTTTTGAAATAAATATAACAGGTTATGTGTCAAAATTTTATTGGCCAATAACAATATTGCAAAAATATCCATTTTATTGTCTTAGTGTGGAATTATAAATTGTTAATTAATGTATTTTGGACTAAATTCTTTCAAATTAGACATTTTTATAATGGTGGACATTTTTGCAAATGACTAGATAAAAATGGACATTTTGTGAAATTTCCTCAATTTTTATATACATTCTGTACCACTTTTATGATGTACTAATTTTTATTATTTTAAAATTTTTAAATATTATTTTCTAGAAAGAATAATATATATTTTTTATATTAAGAATACTTTCAATAAATTTTGATAAAAATTAGTGAAATGCCGGACAACCAAATAAGTTGCAAGACAAAGTATACTAACCGAAGCGTGTATGACCTAGTCATGAGATTTTACTAGCAAAGTGAATGAATAGAGAAAGACTAGCAAAGTAAATTGCAAGTTTATATAGAAGGATGGGATTAATTGTTTATTTAGGGCATCTAAAAATAATAACATGTGTATTTGACCAAAACCTCAGTCGTCTTTGGTATAACACCTTACTCAATTTTCAAACTTAATGTATTCTGTGTTATTTTGACCAAATGTATTGTCAATTGGGCTTTCTAAAATATTGGCACCAAACATTTAGACCATGATCCAACGTGTTGACATTACAATATATCATTTTTAATCATTGGTATTATTTATTATTATTTTTTTTTTTTTCAATTTTTAAAAATTGGAGACAGCCATTCGCAATGACAGTTTCCGCCTAAATTCTTGTAATTCATTTGACCGAAGGTTGGAATTAGAAGTGAAAGCACTAAAGATTGGAACAATTACTTTTAATCGATATCAAATTAACAAAAGCCAATTATAACTAGAAGCCCCAACTTAAGTATTTTAGAGTCATATGCAACGAAGAATTGATAAGAAAAATTATACGGGTGGTGAATTGCTACCCCCAACTACGAATAGTTTATGATTCAACGAAGATTTGAGAGGAAAATTATGCAAGTGGTGAATTGTTACCCACAACTATGAATAGTTTATGATAATTTCCCTAATTTCTATCCCTTGTTTCGTACATTGGGAAGCAAATAAAAAGAAAAACACTTGTTACTCCTAATAAAAGCAACCATTGTCATGTCTGCAAAAATCAAAAGATTTATGATGATTCTCTACAACTATATTTTGGGGAATTTGGTGAGACAGTCGGGTTTCCTAATAATATTGGACAAATGGCCTTTGACCAATACAAAAAAGAGAAAAAAAAAATCAGAATAGTTTAATTGATAAAATGACCAAACTATCCTTCACATTTTAACACAAAAATCCTTCCAAATTCCCTCATTCACCCATTTTCTCCTCAGGTAAAAACTATTCTCCCAAATTTAAAAATCAATGTCTCTCTTCTTCTTCCCCTTTGTGGAAATCTCCCGAAATCGACTATAAATTTGTGGAGATTCCTCTCCTTACTATTGCGACTATGAAAGTGAGCACAAATTAAAAGTATGGCTTCTTCATCTCATGCCTTCTCAAGTCGAGAATCATAGGTTGTAATCATGATATTGATCAATTATTATTCACATTTTTATAGTTTAAACTGCTGTTAAATAGAAATAAATGATAGAATGATTTTGTTGTTTAGACATTTAAATACTGTAGAGGATAAGAGAGCTTTATCAATTTATTTATGTGATTGATGTTATTAATTTCTCCAAAATAATGAAAAGCCAATAGCATTGTGAACTTCTTCAGTATAAACGTGTGGATGATAATTGGGAGTGGGATTTAATTCCGCATATAATTAAAAATCAGTGTGGTAGCCTTCTCCTTTTATTAGCCCCCTGATCAGCTTCTTGCCTTCGTCTCTCAACCATCAGCATTGGATTTAGGAGCACCTTGGTAAAGCTAGTTGATGAGTCACTTTCAAAGTGGTACGATGGCCTTCGTATATGAGATTTTTTCGGAGAATATGGTCAATTTATGTGAAGGGCATGTAAAACATTGGTTAACCTTATGAAAAGTATGGTTGTACAATAGATATTTGGGGGAAAAAAATAAAAGCTATAGAAAGTTGAATTTCATATTATGCAAGAATATTTATTTAAAAGTGACAAAAAGTTTTATTGTGACGAATACTTTTGTGGTGGTATTCCGTTAAAACTTAATTGCATCTGGAGATAATGAATGCAATTTTGAACATTTTGGATATGAGGGTTATTATTTGGTAGATTGGGAAGAGTGAATCCGCCCTCTTGTCTTGCTCAACGTTGTTACTAGGGTGAAGTGCCTGTATTTATCAATTTAAAGTTGTACATTAATGAAATTTGTTTTCCTTTAGTCACCCTCTTAGTTTTTCTTGTTAACTTTAAATACAGAAGGCTTTTTTTTAACTATGCTTTGATAATAATGAAAAGATTCTCGAGATGTCTGAATTTCGTTGTTGGTTAATCAGAGTAGTGACTCCATTTAAATTGTAGGAGTGACAAAAAGCGTACATTGAATTTGAATCTTGCTAAACAGAATTATTTGATTAATGAGAATTTCTTTGGTAATGCATAGTAATCGTGGCCTTATGCTTTACTTTACTGTATTTATCTGATTTGAAATAAATGGATTGATAACATTTGACATTCGGTCCTTTTTGTGTGTTAGTAGTTACGTATTTGAAACACTATCTAAAGCAGTTTATACGTCAAATCATTGATACTAACTTGTAAATCATTATTTGCATTGTATATTATAGAGGTGTGACACATTTAAGGCGTTAGTCTGAGGTTGAAGTGACAATGTTTCATAGCTTTGCTACAATTTTGTGTTGCCTTGGAGCTTTCCATGTGTAGACATGAAATACAAATTACCAGGTGAGAGTTTGTGCAACATATTTAGAACTATGCATTGATGCCTATTATTTGAAGACAATGATGATTTGATGATGTTTCTGTATGTCAAAAATGGTTTTTTGGGCTTAGTTTATGAATGGGGAGTTGAAGTTCATATAAGTTCCGGGTGTATTTTAGATATACATAATAAATTTATTTAGTTCTTGCTATGTTTTATAGTTTTGATTGTTGGGTGTTGTATAAACTAACCAAAAGATGAAGGTATGGGACATAATTATTTAAACTAATTGTGAAGAAGTGCATTATGCTACCTCTTATCTTCTTTTCAGTATGAGAGCTTGTTTAGTAACATATATCAGACTCTCATACTCTAGTTAAATATTCAAATGTGGGTTAGAGAGAACGTAATCGCTTCAAAATCATTTTGAAGTTTGACTTAGAATAAGCTTTGGTTGGTCAGGCATCTTTAAGGGTACATATTGAAAATAGTTTAACCAAATTATGCAAAGTTGAAATTTTAGGACAGGATGCATCTATGTGTTCATACTAAAATGGGTAATTTGCACTGAGAATACATACTAACAAGTAGAGATAGTGCAAGTGATGTAACCTATAATTCTTCTTTCAATAATCCATGTTGCTTTCTTAACTTCGATGGCATGTATATGTGTATGTTTACATTTGTATACATCTTTAGTACTTTAGCATGGCCACACTTGATTTGCCTTTGAGAAACATAGTTCACAATGAAATGAGAGTAAATTTTAGATATAGATAAGTTCATTTCTCTATTGTGTTCCCTAGAGCTTGTAAGTTATTTTTGTCTAAATTTGGTAAATGATTGTTTTGAGAAATAAGATTTATAACTTAATTAATGTTTTACATTTTACAATAGGAAAAATGGATGCTGAAGACGTAGTGAACGTGAAGATAAGTAATAGGTGTAGGATGAAATTGATTGATGAAGTTTTCTATAGCTTAGATGACAAGTATCAGGACCTATTCACAAATTGTTGCTTTGGACATTTGTTAAGCTTGAAAAACATAAAGCTTGCATCCCAATTAGTCCACCAGTTGATTATGACGTCGATAAGTACCTCAAAAGAAAATGAAGTATGGATTAAAGTTGGAGACAAGTTTGCAAAATTTGGATTGCAAGAATTCACATTGGTGATTGGGCTTAAAGTTGGGGATTTGGAGAACGAGAATCCGACACTAGGATAAAATTGTAGACTCGTGAAAGAACGTTTCAAGCGTTGCAAGGCAAAATAAAAAGGTTTATTGTTAGATGTTTTCAAACGTTGCAAGCATAAGAACAATAAATATAAGTTGGGTCTCCTCATCATATTGATGTACGTGCTTTTGGCAGCAGAGGAGAATACATATAACCCATGGTGGTTTTATTTGGTGGATGATCTTGATAGATTTAACAACTATTTGTGGGGAAAAAGTCATACGAGTACACTATTAGAGTGTTTAAACGTAAGTTGGAAAAAATGTTGAAGAGTTATACGACTTCTCAGCGATATCCTTATTCTCTGCATGGATTTTCCCTTGCAATTATGTAATATGTAATATGTTCTAAAATCATTTAAACATTACATTTTCTTTTTAATTATGTTACTTATGATTGTACATATTTGGGCGTTTGAAGCAATTCCTAGTGTTGGAAAGAAATTCGATCGTGTAACAGATGATTCCAGAATTCCAAGAATGATAGCCTAGGAAATGTGCAAGCAAGTTAGAGGGGATATCCTTTGCACATTTTTTGTATCGTCAAATGTGAGTTTTGTTTATCAAAATATACATAGTGTATCGATAACTATAACAAAACAATTTGCTGAATAATTATACATTTTTGTATTTTCAGATAGAGGTACATTGTGTGCTAAATCCTACAAATGATGAATTGTTGGAGCTGTTTTGGAAGGAATCTGGACCTTCTAATGATGAAGTGGATCCTAAGCTGGATAATGTCACTTCAGAGGATGAAGGCCAAAAAATTCTGAAAGTGATGATGCATAATCAAGTTCCGATCGCCCACAATGTCCTAAGACGTCGGATCGACTATCTGTTTCTAGCCATCTACATTCATCTAAAACAACTAGACGACCCTCTCCTTCTTATGACTATATCACTCATATACTAAAACAAGAAATAAGAAGAGTTGAAGAGAGGCTGTGAGGTGAGATGTCAGAGCGCTTCGATCGAGTAGAAAGAAAAATTGATTTCTTTCTCCAATTGACTGGTAGAGGTGGAGTTCAGTCTAAGAGAAGCGAATTTGATGATCGAGCTTTTAGTACAGCAATCAACTAAACAAAAAGGCAAGAGAGCAACATGAGGTGATTATTGAAGAATGATCTCATGAAGAAGTCACATTGAATAAGCAAAACAAGGCTTTTCCTACATATGATGATGGTATATTCTCTCTTTTACTTTTTACAATAAACTACAAATAATTTTTATGTTGGGTCCCATTTGTGGGATTTGGGCAAGATCCTTCATCCGTCATAGTTGTGTTCCAACAACAGCCTTTAGTCTGGACTGGAGAGAATTTTTAGACCGAAGAAGCTCGACAAGATGAGGTAATAGAGAAGGCGGTTGGGACGAAAGATGATTCAAACATATTTAACAAAGGTAAAATTAATTTACATTTCAATATTGTGTGTTAAAATGGATTGAATTGTGTTTCATCAACTTTTATAGACGATTCTGGGGAGCTTTCAACATCTTCACATGTTTTCCAACCTAGTAATAAAATCATTGAGATTGACGATCCGAATTCTGAGTTGACTGTTGGAAAGGGCATCGAGTTAAGAGAAAAGCAACCGTGATGCTTTCTCCATACACTAATCCCTTAAGGAGGAGAAAATTGTTGAACATTCAAGTATATGATCCTTTAAGGAAAGTAGATCCTACAAAAGTTGAAGACCTCAACAAGTGGTTGGCAAATGCATCGCAGAGGTAATTTATTTTATTCCAGTGAAAAATCAAATTTCTTCTTTGTTAATTTCCAACAAAACGTTAAATCTTCAGCTTATAGCATTAATTGCCTTTGAATTGCATGCTAGACCACTTCTTTATGGTTTGTTTTGGTGTATTATACGGTCTGTCATCCAAAACTATATAAGGTAGGTAAAATAAATGACGGACTCGCATCTTGATAAGAGTTTGAGTCAAATAATAAATTCAATTAGTCAAGTCTAAAATGAGTCGACGTCTACTGGAACTCGCATTGGTTCAACTATTGGCTCCCTCTGAAACCTAAGTCATTTGTGTTGATTAAGATCAATAGCAAATTGGTTCCTAAACTTCTCGGTGGCATATCGATATCCTTTTTCCATTCTTGTTCAATTCATTTCTTTTCCAACGCATTCAATTGAACCCTCCAATTGTCATTATGTGCTCAGAATCATCTACTAAATTTGTGCAATTTAGTCTCTAAACTTTTGATTTTTCTATTTTGCCATTTTCTCCAATTCCATTAATTTACATCGAACTATACTAACAAATGAAATTTATATAAAATTAAGACTCAATTTATCCAAATTAACAATAATTGATCTAGTTTAATGACTCAGATAAGTGCATAAAAATATAAAATAGACTTATCAAATACTTCCAAACTCGAACAATTATTTGTCTGCTTAACTGAAACAAAAATTTTCACAAACATGGGTAGGTAATCTGTAGCTAGGCTTAAAATTGTAAATTTTGAGTTATACTATGAAATGCTTCAAAATCACATTACTAAAATTAATCTCTACTTATCCAATGCAAAACCAACATACGCACGTGAAGATGTATGTAACATATCATAGTCATAAATTAATTCAATTCTTGACCTTCAATGGTTAAATATTTTATTTCTTCACTTGTAAGGAAAAAAGTGATCCTTCCTAGTTGCATTGTCGACAAGTAAATATAGTCTTCTCCTGATCTTCTAGTGCTATAGGAATATGATTATAGCCTAAATACCCATCCAGAAAGTAGTAATGTAATTGTCAAACGAGTCTCTTTAACATCTTATCAATGAAAGAAAGGAAAAATGCGATCCTTCCTAGCTGCATTGTTGAGTTTGTGATGGTCAATATAAACTCTTCAATCTATGACTATGCTTTGAGGAATCAACTTGTTGTTTTCATTAACCAGATTATAATTCCTCCATTCTCTAGTACTACATATATTGGACTAACTTAATTACTATTTGATATAGGATATATGTCCAAGCATTCAATAATTTCAGTACTTCTGCCTTCACAGCCTCCTACATATTTGAATTTAATCTAAGATGCCGCTCTATTGACAATTTAAACTCTTATTCCATCAAAATTTTGTACATATAAGGAGAAGGGATGATCTCTTTTATGTTAAGATAGTCCTCCAATTGCTGTTTTATGATCTCGAAGTACCCTCAATAGTTGATCTTCTTCATCTTTGTTAAAAACATTTAAGATGATTATTGGAGGTGTATTTTTCTCTTCCAAGAAGGCATAATGTGAGTGTGAAGGCAACTGTTTAAGTTCATGAACTGGATCTTTTTGAATTGATGGTAAAGGTATTGTAGGGTCTTTACCTAGATCTAACTGTGTCAGATTCAAAATTGGAAGATTGCCTTTCAACTACTGAACACATTCTTCTATCTTTTTTTAGTCAGATGATAGTTCTTTAGAATGAGCCAATTGTGCCTCAAGTGGATCTTAAGGATGATAAATTTGAATACCTCCATCATTGCCGTATTTATTATATCAATTACACAAAAAGAATCTGGTTCATCATCGAATTTGAGTGCATCGAAGACGTTGCTGGTCGATTCTTCACTATTCATCCTAAGGGTCAATAGTTCATTCTGCATATCAATCAATGCTCTATCAATAGTGAAAAATGGATAATCTAGTATGAGAGAGATGTTTTGTCTTCTTTCATGTTATGATGATAAAGTCTGCTGGGAATAAAAATTTGTCAATCTTCACTAAAATATCTTCAACAATCCTCATTATGTACTTGATTGATCTGTCTGCCAACTATAGTATAACTAAAGTAGCTTTTGCTTTCCCTAAATCTAGTTTCCTAAAAAGAGACAAAGGCGTTAAATTAACAATTGCTTTTAAATCACGTGATGCCTGTTCTATGCGTTTATTACCAATGTAACAAGGAATAGTAAATTTTTTTGGATCTTTTAATTTTGGCAGTAAGTTGTTTTTGAAGTATTACACTGCATCCTTTGATCAGCATTACCATTTCATTATCTTTTAGCTTCCTTTTATTTAGGAATACGTCCTTCATAAATTTCGCATACTCAGGCATTTGGGCTAAGGCTTTGCAAATGGTACATTGATGTGAATCTTTCTGAACACCTCCAAACACTTCGCGAACTACTTATCAAGCTTGTATTTTTGCAATTTTTACGAGAATGGTATGTATTTCTTGATAGCAATGGTTGCCTTAAATTGTAGACTATCTGATGTATCTACCTAAATTTCCTCTATTAAGCTGATCTACGTGTTCCTCACTCATAGTAGAAACTTTTTCTGTGGTAATAGATGGTCTTTTCAATGTTATTTCTGGTAATTGAACTTCAATTCGAGTAGTGATGGCATGTATTTGTTCTTTAGGATTTGCTTTTGTATTGCTTGGTAAAGTCCCTTGAGTTCTGCCTACTAGTGCAGTTACCACCTGACCCATTCGATTTTCCAAAATTTTAATTGTAGCATGATGGTTTTGAAGAATAGTTTTATCTTAGTAATCTTCGGATTCAATAATTCCACAACTGATGACCTTCTAGGTTGCTATTACTGTTGTTGAAACTCCAGCGGTCTTGCTTGGAAATTATCTCCCTATCCTTATCCTTGTCCTTGATTATTAGTCCATGAGAAATTTGGGTGATTCCTCTACTCCGGATTATATGTGTTGGAGTACTTATCGCTTTGTTGCCACTAAAAGTTTTGCGTTTAACTAACCTCCTTGGGTTGGTTCATTTGCATGGAGGCTATAGGACAAATTTTAGCAGTATGATCTGCCCCGCAATCTGTGCAAATGGTGTTGGCTGGTATACCATGCTCACATTCCGAATAAGGCTATCTAACTTCTTTGTCAATGATTTCATTTGGGTTGCTAATCATGTAGCTAAGTCAATGTTGTAAATTCATGCTATTTTCCTTGACACACCCTGTTTATTGCCACATAGACTGATTTTCTATTATTTTCTCAAAAAGATTTGAGGCATTGTCTAAGGGAATATCCATGATTGATCCTCTTGTTATAGTGTCGACCATGTTATGGTATTCAATATGCAGGATTGTATAGAAGATATAGATCTCTACATTTTCAGGAATATCCAAATTGGGCATTTTTTGAAGTAATCACTGAATTTTCCCCATGTTTTTAAATAGCTCTTGAGGTCCTTTTACTTGAATTTATGGAGTTAATTTATGATTCAAGGGGAATTTTCGTACCATGTTATTTCATAAAATGATGCTCCCAAAAGGCAGAAAGTAGTGAAATCAGTCATTCTCATACACATTCCTTTAAAGTATGAGGAAATAGGCACATTTGAAAAGCGTCATCTGATGAATTTGTGACTAATCACCTCACAATCGAATAATGAAATTAAGCATGCAAGATTAATCAAGAACAACATGAAATTAACTAAACTACTTATCTTGAATTAAAAATAAATAAGAAATAAGTTTCATCTTCATCTAGTATGTGAAAAGAGTTAGCCTAACATATTGATATGTAAATTATACAAAATGTTTTGGAATAACATTACCCGGAATCGAAATAATGAATGGTAAGTGAAAAATCATATTTCTCTTTCTTTAATTTTCAAACCCAACTTTGAATCTTCATCTTCTTGAATTAATTGCCCCTAATAGACATATTCTTTGTGGTGTTTCTTTTGTGTATTATGTGGTCTGTTTTCCAAAATGGCCTTTGATAAAATGGATGATAGAATCATATCCCGATAAGAGTTTGAGTCAAATAATGTTGGCGCCCTGTAATTCTTCATGAATGCGCAGACTTTTTCTTTGGAGCCCGTGCCGTTTGTGTAGTTTGCGACCAATTCCAAATTGGTCCTTAAACTTCTCTGTAGCAAATTTAGGTCATTTTCCCACTCTTGTTTAGTCCCTTTGCTTTTTCAATGAGCCCAATTGAATCCTAAAACTCTCCAATTATCATCATGTGCCCCAAATCAACTATTGAAATTGTGCAATTTTAGTCCGGAGCTTTTGATTTCTTCTATTTTAGTCCATTTTATGCTCATTTTCTCCAATTCCATCTATTTGTATCGAGCTTTATCTAAAAAATGAAATTCGTATAAAATTAAACTTCAACTCATCCAAGTTAACAATAATCGATTTAGTTTAACAATCTAGATTAACAAAGAAATTTTGGAGGGGCTTATGTTTCAAAAAAGATTGGTTTTAAATTCCTCATTTATTGAACACACATTTTTGTTCACCAAATATTAAGTCACACACACACACACACAAACACATGTTGCCTTAAGTGAATTTGTGAATATGTTTTTGTCAAATCTAAATATTATCCTTTAAAGAAGAGTGCTCTGTAACTAAGGAATTGAGATCAACTTTTTAAATGAGAAATCTACTAAGTTAAGAAAAATATCGGTAGATCTACAGATTCTATACGTCTAAGTTCCCAAAAATAGGATATATTTGAAAAACAATTATATGAATATGTTTAATAAGTATGTGACTGAGTCAATGTCAAGATTAAGGGCAAAGATAAGGCAATAATTGTGATGGATACCTTCACGAAGTCATACGAGCACTGCCACGCTATTGGTTGTAAAAATCATTTTGAAAATGATTTAGGTTTCCTCTGATCTGTAGGAGGATGGCCAACCTCAAGAAATAAAGTGGTATTATAAAGAGTGATCAATTTCTATTGGCAAAGTCTGAGACGAGGCTTGTGCTTCGCTTTATGATTCTCCAAGTGGCTTTCGAATTTCAGATTCAAATTTTTTATTTTCCCCGCACAGAGTGGAATGAGGATTATAAGACGTGATACATGCAATGCTCTTATAATTATTGATAATTAGAAACATGAAGTTAAGAATACTTTCAAGATAAAAATGTTTGATGTAGACTTAAAATGACTACGAGTGTTATTAATGTCCCGAGATTGAGACCCATTTGGAGCATTAGACACTGAGCCATGAATAACGTGCAGATGGTACGATCACTCATAGCTGGACCCAACTGCATAGTAACCTGTGTTTTTACCCTGCAAATGAAAAATCCTCGTCAATTAGGAGCGTCGCATTGCTAAAAAGTAGCTCAATACAACTACAAAGACCTCCTTGTGTACGAAATTTATGGTTAACGCAGTAGTAGCAGCACAAGTAGCATACTAAATAGCTCGACCAAATCACACAACCTATGCACTTTTAGATTCATCTACCAGTTCATAATGCACCCTGATATTTAACTGACGGTAATGATAAGAACAATATAATATAGAACTTTATGCCATCTTGCATAATAAGATTAGGGGATCTCAACCTAAACTAGGGATTATAGTCCTATACACATCCTATGATGCTGTGAAATCAAAATAGACATCTATGATCTAACTACGAGAACAGGATAACGTGTGGGATTTCAGCCAGTACGACAAGGCAAGGAGACCAACAAAACTGTACGTGCCACATGAAGAGAGTACTAACTTCCCTTTCTTGTTGTGTTAGAAGAGAGGAGGAAACCCTGCTAGTGAGAGTGAGAGGGTAACAAAAGTTCAGAGCCAACTACCTGGGATAACATCCGTTGTTTGTTTAGCAATTGTGTCCTTGCTTTGTTGAGAACTGAGTTAGGAGATTTATACATCCTCTGCAATTGCAAAAAACAGTGTAATGAGATAAGCACCCCAAAAATAAAAATAAAAAAACGAAATAATAATAATAATAATTTACCAACAACCAGCACCCACCTTTACATGCGCACACGGGAAAAGAAGTGCAGAAGTACTATTGTAAAGCCAATGAGAACAAAACTAAAATAGAACAGACAACAAAGAGAGAGGTTCAAGCACAAAGCTAACACATCAAATTGATTCTTCTAACAGCCCCACAAATTAGGCCCCTGTTTGGCCCCATTTTCTAAAACCATTTTTCCCCAAACTCATTTTCAACTACACATTTCATGGGTTCCACAGCTTTTATCAACTGTTCAACCACACATTTCATAATCATTTATCAAAATCTGATAAAAATCTAATTTTTATCTAAACCAAACAAGGGCTAGATAAAATCAACTTGAAAACTAGACTGAAGTACACCAGAAAGAGGTTTTTTGAGTTTAGAAGGTCAAACCAACTAAATGACTATTAAGACTGAAGGAAACATTAAGACTGGGTTTTGAAAACAAAAAAGAACTCAATATGGTGTTATTTTCTAAAATTTCTACTTCATTCAATTTTGCTTCCAAGAGATTAATATATCTTTGTTCAAAAAATTGAGAACAATCTTTTCAAGGATAAGCATAAATGAAATGAGCACATACTACAATGATGTTTAATTGCAAACTCTTCGCATTTATATCATAGTTGATCCAGCACTTTGAGAGCACCATGTGATATACATACCATCATTAGAGCTTCAAAAGTGGAACTATATATATGCTACGATGTAAAGTTCACACAGGTGCATCATTTCAGTAATGCAAGATTTTAGAAGTTCCAAAGCACATGATAAAGACGGGTCCACTGTATCTCAAAGATTTAATGAGAGAAGGAAGACATCTACCATTATTCACCATGAATATAGTAAAAGTGAAAAATCAAATGAATTGTTCAACAACTTAATCAGAGCCAGGGAACTAGAAGATCAATATCAAGATTTGGCAACAGAGCCAAGAAGATAGTGGCTTGCCAAAGATGATTGCAGGAAGAATACTGCAGACTAACCTTTTCACCTCCAGACATGCGATGCTCAACACCTGACAGTAACTTTTTCTTTGGGGAGAAGCCAAAGACATCATGAAGAAATAAGTTCTCCTGTATGAACAAAGAAAGAATGGATGATATTAAGCACAGCAATAGAGAAATCGAGCATAAATCCATTTGGCTTTGGACAAAAAATCACCTGCATATGCTTCACAAATCCTCCCCCGAGAAAATGCTTCAGAAAGTTTAACTGCTGAAATGCACATGTCAAAAATTGCTGCTCATAGAAACTGTTGCCCACTATAAGTAAATGAAGAAGGAACAGACCTGTATCAGCTGTGCCCATGTAGTAGTGTTTAACAACTCCCCGCCAATCTTCACTGAGGTCTCTGGAACATATCCATCCTAAAATTGCAACATTGATAAAAAGATCAGAAAACCAGAGAGAATAGGAATTATACCTGTAAAATTAAAATCCTATACCTCAAGAAATTCAAGGATATCTCGAAATGTATTCCTCTGATTATTGAGATCTTTCTTGGCGGAACCTTTACCCCCTGCCTCAACAGAAAGGTTTCTCATTTGGTTTAGAACTTTTGTCCTTAACCCCTGAATGTAAACCAATTGTCTCTGACCATTCTCTCCATCAGTG